TATATCAAATCCAAACCTATATATTCTAGGCCAGTGGGGTAGGATCAATCGTTGAAAGTGCTTTTAGTTATATCTCTCCTTGTACAGTGGCTAATCCTCCATTATGTTATTTGCTGTACCAATTATTTATGACTGTTGGTCAGAGGATTAGGTTTTACAAGCCAGTGAAGAGAATTGTTCTTCAAATAAGTGCACTTTTCATAGTGAAAGTGTATTTCTTTATGTACTAGTGTGTTTATATTTCTCCCAATTGTATAGGATAAACTCTACCTCCTCCAGCCAATTATCCTAAATGCTATGCCACCTGTTAATTGTGTCTCTATGTCATATATTCATGATTGAATTGGACTGGGACTCTGTGATATATCAGGGTCTGCAGAAATGTATTAATTCTGGCCCTCCAAGAGCCTTAGTGTGGCCAAGCCAGCTTTCAGCAATTAAGGCTGCTCACCCTTGCCTTCCCCTTTCCATCTCTGGATTTGGGTAGCACTAAGGAGATCAGTGATGAAGAGTTGTGATTAGGTCTCATTATTCACCCTTGCCCAAATGTGTCATTGAATAATAACCCGTACCTGAGACTTGCTTTAGCTTGAGCATCTGGAAAAAAATGTTCCTATTGGAATGTCCTATTGGCATCTTATTGAAAGGTCCTGAGAAGATTTATTTAGCTGGGCTTCAGCTCCAGGTGAAATGAAGGAATTTGTTTAAGTATGCCCTGAGTACATACTGAGTACCATGCATTCCATTAGGTGATGTGACTAGAGACATTAGAGAGGCACTGCCTTCAAGAAACCCACTGTCCAGTGAGGAAGGAAGAAATAAACAAACATATAAATGCAAAACAGTATAATGAATATCCATATATAATATATAATCACATAACATTATTATATAATATAATAAGATACATTGTGTTATTCTCCCATATATATATGGATGTTAAAGGTCAGTGAGATGAATCAAACACATAAAAAGTAAATAAACACATAAATGCAAACTATTATGTGCTTGTTTACTCTTTGTAATTTTCCCATCTCACTCACCTTTAATATAATGTTAAAATATTATATAATGCATTATATATATATATATATATATACACACACCCCCTCTCTCCCCACACACACAGAAAGAGGGGACCATATGGGAAAGAGTGGTTAACTCTGCTTGGGTAGGGCACAAAAAGGTTCAAAGAACTGACTTGCACAAGTCAGAAAAAGAGAGACAGAATTTCAGGCAGGAGCAGTGATATTAGCAACCTATAAATATGAAAACAATAAATGGTATATTAGAAAACTTTGAACGGTTTTATAGCATGGGAAATGGAATGCATGTTTGATGGAAGATGAGTGAGGTGAGAGAATTAAGCAGTTTACCTCATGGAGGGCCATGCATCTCAGGCCTCTGGGTTTGACATAGTAGTGTCTCTACAGGATGCTAATGTCCATGAGATATTACAGATGTTCTGTGAAATATGAAAGAGTTCTGTAGACAAATACATTTGAGAATTGCTATGTATTATATGGTCTATCCTCCCATGGAGATTTAGGATGTATAAAAAATTTCTGGTAGTAAAAAGAAAAAGTGAACAAAATAATCTCTTTAACCTTGTTTTACAAATGCTTGAAAATTGACATCCCCTCCCCACCCTGAACACCAATTAACATCTCTGAGAACATATTTCAGAACAATTGCTAAGGACACTAATATGGTAACGTGGTCAAATGTATGTCACAGAAAGGTGAGTGTTGGCTGTGGAGAACGGACTGGAGGAGAGAGAGCAAAGGCTGGGTAAACATCTAGGGAAGAGATGATAAAAGGCGGAGTGAATAAAGCAAAGCAGATGGGGAGAAGGTGACACTGAGAGCTCTTATGTCAGGACTTAAAGACTAACTGAGGTGGGGGGCTGAAGAAGAATGAAGAATTTTAATGACGGAAACTGCTAACTCCTGTGAATTTGGCTTGACTCTAAAAACATCATCAATATGAAAATCCAAGATGATTCCTGGTCTTTCCAAAAGTACTTTCTGCCCACCTTATGTGATATTCAGAAGTCCCAGGAAAAGAAAAATGCTTTTCAAGCTACCTAGTGACTCTGTTTTTAGAAGGAACATATTATTCTTGATGACTGGAGTTCTAGAGACAAAGTCAAACCAGTTAATAGGGCTTGCAGATTCCAGGATAAGCGGCTGTGCACTGTTAGGGCAAGACACCTAGATTGCTATCCAAGGTGCTGAATGAATTTGTTTAGTTATCTGAAACTCACTGCTCTGACTGTGTCAAGCTCAGCTCTCTGACAGAGTAGCAGTCTTGTCCCAGACCAAGCAAGACATCGTCTAACTGGTGTGTTGGCTGCCTGCCCTTGCCAGGACTAGCCGACTCTGACTTTTGATCAGGACGACAACCTGATTTCTCATCTGGACTCGTTGAAGATCAGCCATGAGCTGCAAGCTCTCTGTGTCCACGGAGGCTAAAAACATTCCAATAAGGTAGGTAAATGTTTCCTCCATGAATAGAATTGACCAGCAAAGAGAGCAGATACTTTGTTACTGTGGATGGTTGATAAACTGTGTAAATTAATTTTTCGAGTTACATTTCAACACACCCAGGTTTCAGGAGCCTGAAGTTTCTCCTTTGCAGGAAGCTTCTATCGCTCACTGGCCTATATTGAGCTCAGCCCCTAAGGGACACATTATCTTCCCCCCAGGAGCTCAAAATCTAGTGGAAAATATAAATACATATTTTCAAGTACTGTACAGTGACTTGTATTTAGTATCAAATAGATTAAATGTATTAGGGACCCAGAAGAGAGAGGATTAGCATGGGCTGGAATAATAAGGAAAAGCTTCATGGAGCAGGTGGTGGATGACCTGGCTCTTTATGTGCAGGTAGATTTCAGATAAAGAGGAAGAGCATGTGCATTAACAACAGCTTCATGGGAGTGGAAATGCCCATGCACATGTGGCATAGTAAATACCTGGTTCAACCTAGAGCTCTCTATCCTTTCTGTGCATGGTCTATCTCATCCTCCCCACTCCCATTCACATGCAATATACCACCCTTGATCCCTTCCTCACAATGATCATATTATTTCTCTCATACAAACAGAAGAAATATCTTTTTAAATGTATTGACATTTGGAAGAATATAATCTGATAGTCTCCTCCAAGTAATTTTGATATTTTCTAGAGACATGCTTCTTCAAGGTGTAAGGAGTGTCTTAAAACTTCTGGTCTTCGAATCACAGCTCTGACATCTTTAGCTCATGCATAGATTAGAAATTGTTAATAAAATATAGCTCCCAGCCTAAAACAAAGCCTATCATGGTGCAAACAAGGACAATTTAAAAATAAACAGAAATACAGAGGGGAGAAAAATCTGGATATGTGAAGTTCGATGGTGAAGCTGGAAGATTTCAAAGAATAGACTTTCTTAAGTGAATTTACAAGAATTGTCCACCTAATAGACCCTTTTAAAACTAAATTCTGGGATTTGTCAAAAATCCTAGTTATCACAATTTCAAAGGGCATTCTGATGGAGGCATTTTACAGAACATATTTTTGGAACATCTATTTTCAACAGTTTCAGAATTTCCAGACTTTTGTGCGAAAGAAACAGTCAAGGGAAGGGCTAGAGTAGTAAAAACATAGTTCCAGGAACTTGACGTGACCAGGGCAGAAAATCTTTGGAGTGTAATCTGAAGCAGACAGAGAGACCAGGACTTACCTTTACTGTGTAAGAGGTACTGTGCAGGTGAGATCAGCTGGGTTTTCGGCTAGTCTCCACCAGGATTTTGGCATTCGGTAGATTAATGTATTTAATGAATACTAATAATTTAAATAGATTAATCAATAATACTTAGTATTATTCAATCAGTCATTTAAATTGTGTGATGGTCAAATATAATACAGCATACACCTTTCAAACAGCAAACACCTAGAAATTCTATCTACTCATTGATAAGCCAAAGGGTGAAGTCAGGTGTGAATACAGACTGCAGATATTCACCAGGTTTTATGAATGTCACCAGTTTAGCATCTCATCCCCATCTTTCAAGAGAACCCTGAATAACGACCAAATTCCTGAACGGTATGAAAGGTATTTTGAACCACATATTCCTCGATTCTTCACTAGCTGTATTCCTCTTGACATCACACATATACTCGGTTCCTTATTTTTTTTTCATATTTTTTCACTCTCAACACTTATTTAATTATGGATACACACACACACACGTTTTTAAAAGGTCCCTTTCCTCTCTCTTTCTTCCAGATTTTGTCCAATTACAATGTGCCATTTATCATTTTACATAAAATTTCCCATTCCTTTCCATTTATCTTTGCATCCCAGATAATCCTGATGATTATGCTTTTGTCTTTTGCACAGGGCACCGTGGAATGTCTTTCTTTGGGACTCCGACACAATGAAAGCACACAAATTAGGTCTCAGGTGATCGGCTTCAGAAGTGCAGGAATTAAAAGTAGTGCTATAGAAAAGCTTCAACATTGAATAGTTAAAAGAACTGTTTTAGTGCTTCTATTGTCTGAAAAAATGTACTTATGTGGAATTGCTTATTTGATGATCTTGCCAAACTCAAAAGTGCTACTGCACTCAAAGAATACAAGAGCATTTGTTAGGGTTTCTTAGTATTTCTGGACAAGAATGTCTCATNCTCAAAGAATACAAGAGCATTTGTTAGGGTTTCTTAGTATTTCTGGACAAGAATGTCTCATGCATCTTTAGATATCAATCACGTCTTTGTTCATTTCCTGCCTTTTTTTATAATGAAGGGTCCTTGCTGAAATGCATGAGAGATAGCTGGTACCAGAGCAGCACATTTTGGGTATTAAATGTTGTCTTTGAGGAAACTGAGGTGTTGAGAGGTGAAGGGCAGACAGAGTGATTTCCTTAGAGCAGGTATTTAGCAAATATCTATGTGGACTAACTATCATGCCCTTATCACTCACACAACCTTGAATATTAAATAAAATAGATGTGTATTTCTAAATATATGTACCAAACTTTAATTTTCATTTCACACTCAAAACCTCTGTACAAAAAGAGGTAAAGCAGGCAAAAAAAATTACAATGACTTCAGCAAACAACATATGACAACTTTAGAACAGCTTCGGGTATGCAACAGCCTTCATAGACATAGCAGGAGAACTAGGTTCTTAAGTTCTGGGCTCTTTAAGACAAAATTCCAATATTTATTATTAACATCTAGAAAAATTCAGTTTTCTGGTTGTTAATTAATACTTTGGCCCTAATGGGTCAGTGCAATTCAAAACGTCATTTTCCACTTGCTTTTTACTNTGCAACAGCCTTCATAGACATAGCAGGAGAACTAGGTTCTTAAGTTCTGGGCTCTTTAAGATAAAATTCCAATATTTATTATTAACATCTAGAAAAATTCATAGTTTTCTGGTTGTTAATCAATACTTTGGCCCTAATGGGTCAGTGCAATTCAAAACGTCATTTTCCACTTGCTTTTTACTACAAATTCCTAGTGGCACATGAATGGTTTCAGAGAACAGAGTTATAATGCCACAGTAGCAATGTATCTGAGAAATGTAACTTTCACCTTGTTGTTTGCCCCAAAATAAATATCTGAGTCATGGAAAACACTGTTTATTTGAAAACTCTGAGACATCAAATATGAAATATAGTTAACATTGACGTTGACACTGGCGCTAGCACTTCCCCCTAAACCATCCACGAGTCTTGGACACGTGTGCATGCAGCACAGAACAAGTGATTTTTCAAGGACTCCTGATGCCTGTTGGACAGTCTGTTAAAAGAATTTGTCTCCCACAGTAGCTCTGGAGCGGGCCCAAGGCTCGTCACCTGTTAGTGATCACGGACATTCAGTTAACCTGTCCTCCTAATAATCAGAGACAACAATTGAGACCCTGGGCTTTTCAGAATCCACATACTGGTGAATCTTGGCTTTGAGACAAGGTGGCCTGGCTAAATTGGGGCAGTCCAGCAGCAACTCGTGTATATTTGGTCCCATTAAGAGAAAGCCTAGTTAAAAATTATAAATGTGCTCAACTATGTACTCTGATATATATACACATATAATTGGACAGACAATCTCTAGCATTTTCTTACTCAGCGAGCTGAGAGGAAGCTATGGTATAGACACAACTTGGGTTCATGTCCCTGGGTCTGTG